ACCCCGCCCCCTCGTGTCGCTCCGTCGTCTCCCCGCCCGGGGGAGAAGCCTGCTTGAGGGGGAGGGGGTCTTACCCGGCCCCACCCGCCCCGGCAGGCTCTGGAAATCGAGTCCCCCTGGTAAAAAAGGGGGGCGGGTTTTTTATTTTATTTTTTTTAAATCCTTCGGCTGCGGCGGAACGCGGCGCCTTTGGATCGCAGGCCCGGATCGCCGTCGTTCTCCCGGACCGGCGGACTCGCCGCACGACGCGTGGGAGGACGGGGCCAGGAGATGGACCGTTTGTAAGCCTGGCCGTTTAGGGAAGGGGGGGCCGGGGAGAGCCCTGCCCGGCTCGGAGAGGGGCATCGCGCCCCGCAGCTTTGGACGTCGGGGGCTCTCGAGCTGGAAGGACACCCAATACATAGGTCCTGGGGGGGGAATCCTGTACATATCTCATATCTGTTCTGTACAGAGAAGCACTCTATTATCTGTGTCTATAGATTATATAAAATTGTTCTTGTAGGGGGTGGGCACGGGGCAGGCACCGGCCTGCCTGTTGAAGCCAGAGTCTTTTCTTTGGGGGGGCGTTCTTCCCTTCTGTCTTCTGTGAAGACCAGACCTATGCAAGCAGCACAGTCACTTTTTTTTTCTGGGGGGGTGGTGGTGGTGGTAAGGGGCCGGCCGACTCCGCGTGGCCGGAAGAAGAAGAAGAAGAAGAAGAAGAAGAAGAAGAAAAATCTCTCTTTGGGTGTATGTGCAGTTTCTTCCTTCCTTCCTTTCTTTCTTTTTTTCCTTAACTTTGGGGTCGGATTTGATTTGGTTTTCTTCCCCCGAGAACTTTGGCTTGTGGTTTTCATATACTTCCTCTTAGTCTATTAAAAAAAAAAATTTAAATAAAAGGTGAAGAAAAAAAAAAGACGACGACGTTGCTCCTTTCTTTCTTTCCTTCCGCTGCTGGGGCTGCTACAGAATCGAGCATCCAAAGAGGCTGATGATTGATAGGCAGATCAGCCGATTTGGAGGCGTTGGCGATTCGGGAGGGGCGGAAAATGGGGAGCAGGGTGGGGTTTTTTCATGGATGTTTTTGCCTGTTCTCTTCCTCTTCCTCCCTCTTCCCCTTCTACCCCTTCTTTTTCCTCTTCGTCTTCCCCTTCTTCTTTCTCTCCTTCCTCTTCCTCTTCCCCTTCTTTTTCTTCCTCCCCTTCCTCTTCTCTTTCTTCCTCTTATTCTCCTCCTCCCTCCTCCTCTTCCTCTCCTTTTTCTTCCTCCTCCCCTTCTTCCTCTTTCTCTTCCCTTTCTTCCTCTTCTCCTTCTTTCTCCTCTTCTTCCTCCCTTCTTCCTCCTCCTCTCCTTTTTCCTCCTCTTCCCCTTCTTCCTCTTTTTCTTCCCTTTCTTCCTCTTCTTCTTTCTCCTCTTCTTCCTCCCTTCCTCCTCCTCCTCTCCTTTTTCCTCCTCCTCCTCCTTCTTCTTTTTCTTCCCTTTCTTCCTCCTCTTCTCCTCTTCTTCCTCTTCCCTCTTCCTCCTCCTCCCCTTTTTCTTCCTCCTTCCCTCCTTCCTCTTCTTTCCCCTTCTTCCTTTCCTTCCTCTTCCTCCTCCTCCTCCTCCTCCTCCTCCGATATTTGCATCAAAGAGGTCTTCAGGGAGAAGCCCCTTCAGATTCCAAACCCCATCCTCCCCAACCGTGGCTGGCTGCTTCCGATCAGACTCAGAGTCTTGCAGAGCCAAACGGTCCACCGATAAGCCACCGCTTTGGGTTCTCTGCAGGTTTATTCTCCCCTGCCTTGTACCTAAAGGCTAGCTTGGTCGCCAGAGGCGAGCCGGCACAGCAGCCGGGCGAGCCAGCCAAGGCGTGGAATCGCTCTTCCTCTCTCCTCCGGAGCCAGAGAACGGATGAGCCTCCCAAAGGTCCGTTTCTCCCGCCCAGATGCGACGATCTTCCGTATTTGGCAAAGAAAACCGCGGGCTTGCAAAGTGGGCCGGCCTATGTGCTGGCCTGGATGATTCGGTTCAAACAGGCGCACTCTATCTAGATTCGCTGCAGTCCAAAGTGCAAAGTTGAGTTGGATTTAATTTCATTTTAATTGGATGAAAGATGAATAGCCTTTAGCTAAGGTCATCGGATCACGTCCTGCACCCTGAATACGTTTCCCCTTTTGGAACATAAAGTACAATACAAACTTTCGGGCAGAGGTCCTTGGCTTGTCTGATTATTCGCTGCTCCGTTGGCAGGAAAATGTCAAAATCCCGCCCGATAGCAGTTCAACTGCCTTCTCCCCCGTCCCCAGTTTCACCTGTAGCCCTCTTTCCCCCCATGGTCACGAGCCAGCCCGTCTGGTTCCCCTTCATGTCTTCCTCCCCAACATCCCTGTAAGGTAGGCTCAACTAAAGTGGGGCATTCTGGGAGCTTCAGGGCTGATGAGGAATTTGAACTCGGGTCTCCAACATATCCATGGAGGCTCACGATGGGGAACTTTCAGTTGCCTTATAAGAAATGGAAAAGGCCTGGAATCGCGAGGCACCCCTAGAAACGCCGTGCAAAAGAACGTGGGGAAACGGGGTGGGGCAACCTTTCCAGGCAGGCTTGATTTTGCTCCTGAAAAATGGGCTCTTGCACGTCGTTTTTCTTGCCCACAACTACAATTTTTACACCACGCCCGAGACGGACAATCAACATCTCGGGAGCGAGGCTTCCGGCCCCAAAAGCTGCTTGAGCGTGGATGGGGTTGGTCCAAAATGGGTAACTCGACTTTTGAAGGAACGGATTTTTCCCAGTTTGCACAATGCGTTGACTTGCACAAGAGCCCGCGTGGTTCATACAGGGCCCCAAACAATGCAATCGCCGCCTTCCCATCCCGTGCGATGCCCAAACCCTGTTTTCTGCTTGAGCATCATGGCAAGGTTTCTGCAGCCTAGGTCAACACATTGTTCAGCACGTTGACACCAACTCAGATTTAACTGGATTTCATCTTCGCCGGGCCTTTGGGGAGGGAGACGGGGAGCCCTCCCTTCCTCGCACTTCCATCGATCTGATTATAATTTCTTTCTTCGATGGTCATCGGCTGCCCAGAGTTGCCCCAAACCGCAGATGTCGTAATGTGTCTATGCGCGGATCCCAGCGGGGTGGCCTTTTGGAACGGACCGACGGAAAGGTGGTCAAGGCGCAGATTTCCAAGGCTTTTTGCTATGGCCCCAGGGTGCCAACCACCACGGCCGGTTTACGCCCTAAATCTTCCAACTTCAGCTTTCAGATCTCGATGCTCGATCTTTTCCAATTTCCTGTTCTCCGATCCCTGGCAGGGCCACCTCAACGATCCACGCTTCCTTCTTTGCGCCCCCAGTGAAATCCGGTGCATTCGGACACCATCAGTCTAAGATGAGTGGCTGCAACCTTGGCAGAAGCACTCGAGGAGGTGGTTTCAGGGAGTTGTGTGAACGCAACCTACGGGTGGCCTGTCCCCCGCTAGCCATGTCCCAGCGGTGCCGGATAGACCTTTCCCTCCTGTATGAACTGGGGAATATGGTTGCGGTAGTCCAGCCCTCTGGATGACAGATGGCTGGGGGGGTGACGTCTGTTCTCAGGATGTGACCTTGCCGGGAACGGCTCCCGACCAACTCTTCATAACAACACACCACCTCTTTTCCCCCGTGGCCGCTGAATCACGGTCTGGATCTCAGTCGGTTTGGAAATGGTTCATCCCTAACCTTTTGCACCATGCCTGGGGACAGATGGGGGGGCGGCTGTCTTCCAGACACCCATCTGCCGTTTGCAAAGCAGACGTGTCTCTACGATGCAAGCTACGCCCGGCCCTTCTGCCTCTCTCCCCAGTCCGGGGCCGTCTTGGGAGTGAAGCTCCTGGGCGTACAACCACCTTGGAAGGTAGGACGCTGGCAGCTGCCTTGGGGCCCGAAACGGTGAGGCAACCTGCTGAAACGGCGAGGGAGAATGCCAACGACGTTGGGTTGAGCGGAAACGTGCCTTTCCATGTCACACGGGCGAATTCGCCTCCATCATCCCGCCCGTAGGATTGCTTCCTATACATTTAACTTTCTCTTTAACCCTTCTGACTCGGTGAGAGTTTGGACCATTAAGCTGGCTTTGAAAAGGCTGCTTCGATATTTAGACCCGTGTTTCTCAACTTTGGCAACTTGAAGATGTGTGGACCAACTCCCAGAATTCCCCAGCCAGCTGTGAAGTCCACACATCTTCAAGCGGCCAAAGTTGAGAAACACTGGTCTTGACTGTAAGCTCCTCGCAGCAGAGATCTGATCCTTCACCCTCACCGCTGGGGGAGTTAGCAAACCCATCCATGTACCTACCCAAAATGATGATTACGTCACCATCAGTGCCCTTAATTTCTTCCAAAAATACCCAAAGAAAGCACTCTGCCCCCCAAAACATGCCACCCACAGTTCAACACAAGGCAGAAACGATGGAGAAACTGAGGCCCGGATCAGAAAAAGCAGTCCCGAGGTCCTGTTCGCCTTGGGTGAAAGGGGGGGGGGGCTGGAGGTCCCCATCACAAAGCCACAATTTGAACTGGAGGCTTGGGGTCCCCTCTTCTAACCCGGGGTGCTGTTGGCAGTAGAGCCCAACAGCTGCCAAGAGAGACATGCTAGAGCTTGCCCGCGTTGGTAGAAGATGGCAAACTGGTTGGGCGAGTCTTGGCAATAGAACGGAGCTGGGCCGGAAGATGGGTGGGTGGGTGGGAGGGTCTCCTCTTGCCCCCCCAACAACCAGAGGAAAGGTGGGGGCTAAACTTCAGCCATCTAGCAACCTCGTTGCAAACTCCGAAGTGTCCAGTTTGACACTGGGCGGACATTTCATTCCAGTGGCCCAAATAAACCCTTAATTCTGAAGGGCGGCTAATAAGCCGGATTTCCTTGGGGCAGGGGGAGAGCCCCAATTTCTGCCCCAAAGAATCCCCAACCTGAGGGGTTCTTGCCCCACAGGCCGAGCTTAGGCGAAAACAGAGCCGCCGGTCGT